AATTTCTTGATATTTTTAACAGAGGATGTGGTTTCAGGATGTGTACCACCAGATTTTGCTGTATGTGTCTACTATTGGTTAAATGAAGTATTTCCAGAACATCGGATCGGCAGGGCTGGCCCTGTACCTTGGTCTGCACGATTTCTAGACCTAACGCCATTGGATTTCTTTCTGTGGGGTTACATCAAATAAGGAGTGTATGCGAAACCTACAATAATTCTGCCAAACCTGCAAGAACGAATTGGTGTGGCAGGTGCAGAAATTCTCGTGAAAGTCTTTGCAACTGTTCAACTGTCTATAAAACATCATGCACAAGTATGTATTTCTGCATAAGGTCTACACATTAAAATTTTTTTGTAACTGAAATTGATTTTGTAGACATGCATACTGTATCTTTGCTGCTATTATTACATAATAAACTCAGGGGAGTAAATTAAAATAAACAAGCAACTGTTCTGGAGTAATATTGTTGTGCTGTATAGCATTTTTAGACACGCATAGTGTATCTTTGCTATTATTACATAATAAACTCAGGGGAGCAAATTATAATAAACAAGCAACTATTCTGGAGTAATATCCTTGTGCTATACACCATTTGTATCGGCACAATTTACCTCAAATTGATAGTTTCAGAGATAGAATTTGTATATCCTTGATTTGACCTTTATATCATGATATGACGTAAGGTAAAAAAGGACCCCAATATATCTAAACACCCTTTGTCAGCAGATTTTCAATATTCCACACCTACCTCACAACAACAGGAACAGGACTTTTGACTTACTTTGTATGTATAACCTTTTAAGTTTTTTTAGTGCAACAAAAAAATGTCACCGACAGTGACCTATAACAACAACAAAAAAGAGAAATATTTGAAATATATTCAGACTTCTGAGCATTGGAAAAAAACTCCAATCAACAACTATAATAAATAACTAAGAAGACTTACAAGTTCTTCGTCGCATATTTTTCTATGCGACTTCGAGTTGCTTTGGTACATCTAGTGTCTTCACTTTATTCGATAATTATAATTACACCAATGAACAGCAGAATAAGACAATTCTATACAAAATTAATATACCCTTTTCCACAGTATGATGATATTTTGCTCAAACCGTTAAACATTAAACGTGTTAAATACAACTATGTTGATTACACTATCACACTAAAAACTGTACATTGTATATGCAGCTCAACTGTTCACGGATAACCTTCGTACCCCACTATATACAGAAATATCATGATTTACATTTTAGACAGGAAAAACAATATGCGAGTCTGGACATTAATATGATCCACAGTCTTGTAGGTATCATATTTACATAATACTTTTAGGGTTTTTTACTACCGTGTTTTTGTTTGTTGAGAACACTGTAATGACAAAATATAATTTTAGGAGAATTGAACATTTTATAGTTTATTTATTAATATTGAAGCCCAAGCTGGTTCAGCACAGGGCGTAACATCCCTCCCCCCCCCCCAACCTCCAGAAAAGCTTAAGGTTATCTCTGGATCCGGGGGGTATATGATCGATTTCCGTAAACTATTACCTTCTTTATCCCCAGCCGCAATAGGTCACGCCTTCCCCTTCTGAATGTCCTGAAGCCACCAGTGCTGAAGTGATCATTTTATATAGAACTCGAGAAAAATGCTTACCAAGTTACAAGAATTGGAATTAAACAGAATTCGCTTTAATCTCGAATATGTGTATTCTCAAACGTAACAGAATTTTCAGGATTTGTTTTTCAAGTTTAACCACCCATGTTAACGACTTTTCTATATATCTGACTAATATATACAGAGTGTCCGAAAAGTCGGGAACCATAGGTGATTTGCAGCTCTTCTTAATTTCAGGTACGTGACTGATTATGACGCTGTTAAAGCATGAGAAGGTCCAGTTAGTCCTGCTGTTAATCCAAACTTGTTTTCAATTACAAGGACAGCATTTGGAACAAATTTTGTAAAACTCTTTGAAGTGCCTATGGTTCCAGACTTTTCGGACACCCTGTATAATATGAGACTAGTTTATTCCTTACTAATATATTTGTCTTTTTGAGAACTTTCGCGCAAAGTTAGAAGAAGGGCTATCTGAATTTAACGAGGGGCTATCTGAATTTAGCCTTTCAAACTTTTGAACTGATAGATTAGAGGGAAGGTAGCTAATCAATGGCACCCACCGCCATCTCTTGGACTACTCTTGTCTGACCGAATAGTGGATTTCACCGTCATACTTATCCCACGGCCCGAAAACGCAGCCAGTGTTTTCGTAGCTACAGGCAGTAAAAAGTGAGTCATCGGATTCACCGTCCTGGTATACTAACCACTTGGCAACGCCCGGCTCCTGGTTTAGAGAATCATAGAACCATAAAACTTTGATTACGTGTTATATCACTTCTGCTATGCTTGAGTGTGGGTGATGTATCATTTACACAGTGCTCTGGCATAGTAAAATGAACATTGATGATATACAACACAAACATAAAACATAGTAGAAACAGCACCTGGTAACTTCGCTTTTCCCATGTTCGAAAGCGTTCATATTCAGTAGAGTTATGTATATCACTGGCGTGGATGTATTGTGGGTTATTCGGACAATACCATTGATTTCGGATGTGCTCCTATTCATATTTCAAAGCACTGTAAGACAGCTTCAGAGAAACGTCTTACATTTTTCGTTATCAACAAGAACATGACATACATTTTATCATACAGTGTATAAGGAAATATTTTGCACAAGAATGCCTAATTCATTTTTAAATAAACTTTCACATACCCACCGTTATTATAATTTTTTTACATAAATTATTGAGAAACGGACAAGCGGGCATATACAATATCTGACAAATATTAATGAGCAATGAACAATCTGACAAACTTATTATCTAACCGACAAAGGCAAAATGAAAAACGTTAAACACGGTTCAGCCATTATAAGTTTAAGATGAGAGCAAATTATGCGTGCTACACAACTTTACGTTAGTGAAATTACTGAAATCAAAACAAAAAAACAACAACCACAAAAACAACGTGTGGTAGACAATAGATAAACTATCACTCGAAGAAATTAAGAGCCGGATCTTCTTAAGATGGGAGTTATATGTTCCGGGTTTCTTACGACTGAGGATCACGCAGAAGCGACTAACTAACTGTACAAGGTCAAACGTGTCCTATTGAAGCGGTCAGGATGATTGGTTGCTGTTAATCTTTTATTCAGAAGTTTAGAGATTATAGAGGATTTAAAATATAAACGATTGCATTAATCAACTTCATTTAAAGTTAGGAAAAAAATTAAATATTCACATGAACATAAGCATATTGTAGGATCTTGGATCATGGAGCTTATTATTTCAATTGAAACATCAATGGAGGAAATAGAGCAACTCACTTAGGGATTCTGTACGGTATTTCGTAGGTTCCATAAATTTAATTGTTCATAGGTTCGTGTTCACCAACTGTATTTTATGGCAAAGTTATAGAACACCTTTCAAAGTACTTCTACAATATAGAAAGATACCTTTAGATACAAGAACTGGGTTATTAAAATTTTTATTTAACATAGAAAAACTTTTGCGCCTAAAAATAAATATAATTACCTTGATTTCAAGCCATGACTTTTAGTGTTTTTTTAAATAGCGTTTGCTCATGGTTTCTTGCCCATTGTGTTATTAGCGGAACGCGGCAAAAAAAAGAAAGGAAGACAAATTAAACTCTAACATTCTATTATTAAAATCAGATATCGCTGAATAGTACCCCCCAACATTTTTTTTTAATGTGAAATCATGATTGGTTTGTTCAAATTAGTATTACTGTTAATTTAATTTCAGTCAATATATATATATAACATCGAAACATTTTATGCTGTCAATGACAAGTTTCTAATACCAGTTAATGATAAATGGTACTTAGATTTAAAATTCACTTTTCCAGGGCCTGGCATGGGCTCGCAATCTGAGGGTCGTGAGTTCGAATCCCCGTCACCGAAATGCTTGCACTTTCAGCCGTGGGGGGCGTTAAAATGTATAAAATATATCACTACTAAATTAGGAATGACTAACGCAGATAGCCCTCGTGTAGCTTTGCGCGAAATTCATAACAAGCTATTTTTCTAGAAGTTTTCAGGTTATTTCAGGATTAGTATGAGACACTTCGTAAACCACTGTTTCAATGATACAAACGTTTTCATTCAGGAAGGCTTCCGGTTCTATTTATATCGTATATTCGTATGCGCTAGCCGAATCTAGTTTTGAAGATTATTACCAATAGACTACAGGAAAAGGAGCACTAGCACTCATCACTAACTCTTGGGATATTCTAATAGAAAGGTGGAATTCGATCGTATATCATATAACGTACCTACGACCTTAAAGTGCGCGGTGCAACTGTTTTTGCGCCAAAGGGCTACAAATTATGTATCACTAGCTCTACAGTCCAGCACATGACCCTCTTGACCACGCCCTTCCCATCAGGAAGGCGGTCTTTTCATACTGCTTGGTAACTAAAATGACAATTTTAAATTTATCTTTACATAATGAAATATCTACTTGAAATAGAAAGTTCAAATGTTTTTAATAAAACACGTTTTAACGACGAAATTCATACAAATTTATGGATTTTTATTTTTTTCTGAGTGTTCTCCAGTTTAAATCGGGATCTTAAATACTATCTACTTATCTTGCAAGATTTTTATTTTTTTCTGAGTGTTTTCCAGTTTAAATCGGGATCTTAAATACTATCTACTTATCTTGCAAGATTTTTATTTTTTTCTGAATGTTCTCCAGTTTAAATCGGGATCTTAAATACTATCTACTTATCTTACAAGATTTTTATTTTTTTCTGAGTGTTCTCCAGTTTGAATCGGGATCTTAAATACTATCTACTTATCTTGCAAGATTTTTATTTTTTTCTGAGTGTTCTCCAGTTTAAATCGGGATCTTAAATACTATCTACGTATCTTGCAAGATTTTCAAGCTCCTGAGAATATGCATGTAGTTGTTACTAACCTCTCCTGTGACAGGATTGGCCAGAAAGACATCCCCTGTTCGCTTATTTATTCGGAAGAAACTGGAACCGTCGAGGTACACAGCGGGCTTAATACCATACTCGATGTCGTCTTTTTCATCGTCACGTACTCTGACCGTAGTAATTCGACTCCCTTCAAAAACAAAAAACAAAAAAAAACGTATAGTATAAGTAACTCCAAGAAACAGTGTAAAGTCCTGATTCTTGAGTGATAGATTATAGAGTCCGATATGATGTAACACTGAGAATGATGAACAGATGATAAATAGATCCAACATATCCTCTAAAAATAGCATGCACACTTCTAAACAATACTTATTATGACAGTACATATCCAATTTAGTGTGTTTTATATTAAGTAACTACACGATCGTTAGGTTTGGTTTCAATTTCACGCAACAGTGAAAGGTTGTTTGTTTGTTTGAAGTTAAGCACAAAGCTACACAATGGGCTATCTGTTGTCTGCCCACCACGGGTTTCGAAACCCGGTTTCTAGCATTGTAAGTTCTCAGACATACCGTTGCGCCATTGGGGGCAGCAGTGAAAGACTAGAGGAAAGTCATCATCTCCCACCACCAACTCTTGGGCTACTTAATAGTGGGATTGACCGTCACATTATAACGCCACCACGTCTGAAAGGGCGAGCAAGTCTGGGAATTCGAACTCGCGATCTACAGCTTGCGAGTCGAGCACCCTAACCACCTGGCCACGCCAGGCCCACAATCGTTATGTGTGTTTTATGTTAAGTAACTACACGATCGAACAAGTTTTAGCCATTTTAATTCAACAGGATAAAATGAAAACTATGTTTGATTCACACTTTCTAGCTGTCTGATAATCTCACACGCCACTGACACAATAAAAATCATTATTTTTGTGAGTGTGCTAGTCTTAAATTCCTAAACAAATTTTCGGATCTAGATTCACAACTTAAATATATTGTTCAATGTTCATAGAAAAAATAAAATAAAGAGCGAATGTTTAAGAACAAGGTAAATCTTGAAAACCACAATCCATGTGGAAAAACTCGGTCGAGCTGAAAGCACAGGTACAAGGAAGAGTGAAGTACTTAAGGGTACATGGAACTGGATAAAGAATAAAGGCAATTAGTGTGAAAGAATAAACTATTTAAAGGATAGGTTAGGGTTAAATGTGTGTTAAAAAGAAATAAGTTATAAAATATAAAAATAACAGTAAAGAATAAAATACAGGGTAATGGTTATGAAGAAGGTAGGGTTCAAAGGATAAGTTAGGAGTAAATATAAGTGGTAGAAATAAAACTTAAAACATAGATATTTGGTAATGGTTATATTGTAAACAAATTGTTATGAAAAAGAAGGAAGGGGAAAGGTCAGAAGATAAATGAGTAAGAATAGAGGATAGAAACGGGAAATGCTAAAAAAGTAAGTAGAGTAAAAGTAAGAGTAAGAAATGGTAAAATGATAAGCAAAGGATAATAGGTAGGTGATATGGTTAAAGGAGGAAAAAGAAATATTAGTCCAAAAATTATAAGGACTGGTCATCGTCAAAAATACAAATAAAAACATACACTTCTTCCCCCCCCCCCAAGTAAAGCTAATTTAATGGCTATAAAACAAAACCCTCTAACGTTACTCTTACACTGTCTCTCTCCTTTTCTGGGCTCTTTTGTTGCTGTTTTCAAGCGAAAAACCTAGGAATTAATCTGTAATTATTATTAATATGTGATGTATTGAGTTGGTATATATTTCCTTTAAAGCAAACAATCCTTCCATTGATTGCGGCCATGTCAGTAAGAATGCTAGTGCCTTGTGAAATACAGACATTAAACAAATTAAAAATGTATATATTTTTATGTTTTAGAATCGACGGTATGTGATTTTATATTTTAAAAAAATCTACAAGCCCCCCCCCCCCCAAAAAAAAAAAACGTGCCTGGCCATTTCACAAAGAATTATATATAACAATGTTTGCTTGTCTTGAGCAGTGGACCATAACCTATTGTTTCCTTTCTGTGGCTACAAGTTAAGGAGGTCAGTGAGGTTTACTTAGTTACTTTAAACAAACACGAATTTCCGGCAAAACCTCGTGAGTATAGCTTAACTTTCTAGGTGTCGGAAGTCTGATCACCTACACGGGGTGTATTCATGACCTTCCCCATTTACTGGAATTAAACTATGAATATTAACTTCTGTAGTACTGTAGGCCGCTGAAGAAACTGTGTGGCTCGAAAGCACCAGTTTAATTAGGAATTACTGAATCGAAAAAAAACAACAACAACAACACAACAACTTCAAATATAAGGCGTGTGACAAATAGAGGAAAGAACGGGAAATGCATACACAGTTCAACAAACCCTAAAATTTCTTAGTCACTACTCATACGTGAACGGGACAAAAAGGAGACGAATACTAGGAAATATTTATTCAGTAAAACCGGTTTTAGGTTCAGGAATCCACCTCAAGCAGATGTTTCGAATTACGAAATAGATGTTTTAAAGACTGTACAACTACAGCATTAATTTACAAAAGAAATACGAGAACAAAAAGTGATTCTAAATTTCTATACGTTGTTGAGTATCAAATAATAAGATATTTAACTAGGTAGTTTATCAGAAAACAAAGTTATGTATATTTTCTTTACCCAGTATGGTCTGGCTCCTCGAATATTATAATCAGCTTAAGTATCAAATGAATCCAAGAGTGATAATTCATCTGTTTTTCAACATAGCTAAAGATCAGAAATGAAAACCAAAAGAATGTGTTCCTTCCATATGAAATATACCTTTTCAGTAATTCAGAGTTAATTCATTTGCGATCAGTGTTATAAGGTTATATATATATACACACAGGTTTAGGTTTTTATAATTTGGCGCAAAGCTTCCCTAATTTAGCAGTGTAAGACCAGAGGGAAGGCAGCTAGTCATCACCACCCACCGCCAACTCTTGGGCTACTCTTTTACCAACGGATAGTGGGATTGACCGTCACATAATAACGCCCCAACGGCTGAAAGGGCGAGCATGTTTAGTGGGACGGGTATTCGAACCCGCAACCCTCAGATTGCGAGTCGAGCGCCCTAACCACTTGGCCATGCCAGGCCCATATATATATATACAAAGTGATATATATATTAATACATGATATTATTTGACATTCTGTTGTGCCTTTTACCTTAAAATGACGGCTACCTATGTCGATGCTTATATGCAATTAATCAACTCTCTCTCACGTCAATCTATGGGTGGAAGTGCTCTGGTTCACAAAATAAGTTTGATTCTCGCAAGATGTGCGTTTGTTCTTAGTAATTTTAAGTTCAGGGGTCTGAATACATAATCCAAGAGAAATTTTGTTGTAATAATTCCTCGAATATGTAAACCTAGAATACACTGTATACATGAGTATGCATAATTGTACACTTAACCATAATATCAAGCGTACGCACATTTAAGAAGCTAAAATTTTGATCCAAACTTTTGAAAATTTCACACGACCTCCTAAATTATTCAGCAACGCAATAATATGTCGCCATATACAAGTACGCAAATTATATTAAGTTGACACCATAACTTATATATATATATATAATAAGCAATATATTATTCAAAAAACACGTTATAATAAGTTAATCGTAATTATATTACAGCAAACGCTCGGATAACCTGGTTTTCTTAGATCAACTTCACCCGTGTCATGGCAAGTTTCGGAACAATGGCAGTTTTTAGGGACACCAAAGTAAATGTAAACTGCGTTAGTTGTTATTGGACGTCTAAGAACGAGACGTCATTCATTTGTTGAAAGGATATTAATTTTCTTAAAGCAGTTATTCAAAATTCGTCAAACATTTTTATAAAACAGTAGAAAAGCCAGATGCTTATTTTATTCGCTTCCCATTTATTAGCTGTGGTTTACTGTATTATATACCTCGCTGTTCGATTTGGAAAAATTACAGTAAGTTTTTAAGATAAATTTTACTTTATATTTTAATTTCCAATTCCCATTTTTCCGTCTTAGATATTCTTACGGTATAAATCTCGACTTCACGAGGAACTATTCCCTCTAACTTTAGTGTTCTACTTTAGAAAATCCGTACCTAATACCACACGTGTCCCAGATTTCTTACAATATCACTGACACCTAGATCCGTGTGGCAGCAAGACCTATATTCATGCTCATATACGCTGAATGTGTATACACAAGTTACAGAACCAACAGCGACTCTAAATTTTACATGTCCCTTTCTAGAAAATTGTAGGTGAAACGAGGTCATCTTACGACATCTTTGTGAACAGAATTCATTAGTAGAAAATATCACACATATTAGAACCATGTTTTACTCATCAGTCTTGAATACAAAATTCTAAGCATAGGATTTTTGTATATTAAAGGGTGGTGTGGAAGGAATATGAAAACAGAACGGATTGCGGAAAACAGTGTAGACTTGTTGACATATACCACGGTTTATTTTCGTGTTTGTTACTCCTGTTTTAAGCATAAAAGCAAAACTGTTAACAAAATTTAATTTTTAAGGGAAACTATTTACACGGGTTTCGTAGTCAGCAGGAAAAAAATTTCACGGTCCCAAAACCCAGGTGGCTCTGTAGACTTTCTGGTTTGTCAAACAAGAAGGTAATATAAATGAAAGCACAGCGAAGCTAGAACATTTTTTTTTGTATACATAAGCTGGCGAAAAGCGTAAATTTTAACCGACGGGCTTTGATCTTTAGATATATAAATTACTATTTTGATTATTCAAAAATATTAAATATTGTAATTTATTCATTTTTCCCCCAGTGGCACAGCAGCACGTCTGCGGACTTACAACGCTAGAAACCGGGCTTCGATACCCGTGGTAGGCAGAGCACAGATAGCCCATTTTGTAGCTTTGTGCTTTACTTTAAACAAATTTTATTTACTTTTTACTTTGCACGACTTTAAAAGTGTAACGGAATAGTACTTTTGATGCTTTGATTTATCGGATTATCCCCCTAAAGTTTCTGGAAAGAAAAACGTTTAATTTACATGTCATAAACGTGAGTGCAGAATAGTTTTACCAATTACATGCCAGAATCAGTACATTTGATTTTCATGTTCGAAACTAAGTTATAAGAAGGCACCAGTTCTGTCAGTTAGGAACAACCTTGGAATTAGGCCTAAGGCTAGTCCTAGAAAGTTTGAAGGTTTTTAATCCAGCTGGTAAACCGATGGTTGGATATCGATAAAATATCTTTACTTTTTTAACTCATGTCTCGTCTGTCAATCAGAGTGCATTCAATTTACTGTCTAGCAATTTTATTTTTTGTAGCAATTTTATGTACTTTTCATTGTTTATGCTACAATTTCTATTATATTCACCAACTAACGACATTATCTATATATTTATCTGACTCGTAAACTGAACTGGTTCTTCAACATTTTACCGGTTCTTCAGTAACAACGGGCTAAGCCGACTTTTTTCACTCCTTAAAAACCTTTTACTATAAAAAATGCATTGCCACTTAAACTTCATTCCCCTCTAGCTAAGAAATTTATATCCACCGGGACGTGATAAAGTTTTAAACGCTGGATTAAAGTGGCTAAAAGCGAATAGAATTTTAAGATATGGCTGATAGGCCCGAAGGCCAAGGATTGAATTAAAAGACTCGTAAATTTACTCGCGATAAGTTTATATACTAAAACTGAAGTATTTTACCATTTAATATGCGTAAATCTGAAAATAATCTTAAAAAGATAGACAGTTTGGCTAACGCTAATCATTATTTACTGAAAAATATTTTGCTTTATTAGAAGACTCTTACAGCTATTTGCATGCTGCTGAGTTTGCTACAGATTATTACGTAAAACGACACTGTTGATATCAAACTGAACTTACAGTGCCAGGGATAATAAAATGAACAGTCTCGCCATTGAGTTGGCAATGATGTATCAATCTGCAAAACAACACAAACACGAAACGGAGTAGAATCAGACCCATCAGTTTGTTTTGTTTTGAAGTTAAGCACAAATATACACAATTGGCTATCTGTGCTCTGCCCACCACGGGTATTGAAACCCGGTTTCTAGCGTTGTAAGTCCGCAGACATACCGCTAGGCCACTGAGGGGGGCAGACCTATCAGAATCTGGTAGGTTCGACTTTTTCATGTTCGAAAGTGTTCATGTTTAGTAGAATTATGTGTATCATGGGCGTAGAACTATCGTGAGTATTTCGGATATTACCACTGGTTTCGAAAGTACTCACAGCACCCATGTCAGGGCACTGTAAGATTACTAACTAGTGAAACATAAAAGTTATGGGTTTTGTTTTTTAGTTCGTCGAAAAGTTTAAAGTAATTAAGCTGCTCTCTTTATTTATTCATATTTTCCAAATTTTTAATGAAAGGAGAATGTGTAAATATCTTCACTCCAGAAATAAAGGAGCTAGCATTGAGAATGTGTAAATATCTTCACTCCAGAAATAAAGGAGCTAGCATTGAGAATGTGTAAATATCTTCACTCCAGAAATAAAGGAGCTAGCATTCCCTGAAACTCTTAAATTAAGAAAGGTTTATCTAACTTTATAAATGTGCCTTCTATAAATTGCCATGAAATAGGTATTATCATAGATACAAAAACAGATGTTAAAGTTGATTTTTTAAAGTTAAGCTTTGTATACCAGTATAGGGAAGACACGAGTATATAGTAAGTTTGGGTACAGTTGGTATCTTAATTGGAGTTATGAGTTTCTTTGTTAGGAAGGTGTTGGTAATGTTTTCTAATAAGTATTGTGGGTAGCAGTTACGTTCCAGGATACAGATATTAAAGTTTTGTTGAATTTTGCGCAAAGTTATTCGAAAGCTATTTGCATTAGCCGTCCCTAATTTAGTCAGAAGTGATGGACCAAAACAACGGTAGCTAGTCAACACTTCCCACTTGAAACTCTAAAGAAAATTGGGATTTGTCGTCACATTATAACGCCCCCACCTCTGAAAGAATGAGCATGTTCGGTGACGAGATTCGAACCCGCGATCTGCAGACTGAAAAATGGAGTATCCTAACCACCAAGCTATGTCAGGCCTGTAATTACTAACGCAATGTGCTTTAATCACATTTATTACCTGGTTCTAATTTATTATCGTGTTTTTTAATAATGAATTTCAATCATTTTTATACTTCGTGAAACTACCACTAGCCCATTTATTTTGCATAAAAAGGTCCAGAGAAAAAAATAATGTACTTTAATTGCCTAATCATTTTTGAGACCTAAAAAGAAAAAAATACTAAAATCCTATATATATATATATATATACGAAATTTGTCTCGTGGAAACGGGAAGAGCAAGTATGGGGCCCATGTTAAAGAGTTTTCGATAAACTGCCTCTCTTGTCTGAATTAATTACTCATCATGGCGAAATTATTATACACAATAAATATATTTAGGTTCACACACGATATGCCAGTGCTTTTGCAAATATAAGTAAGCCATATATACGTTAAAACATATAACACCTTTAACTAAGTAAAATGTTGGTAATTTCTAAGTAATTTTACAAATTACTTTAATGAAACATTTTCTTAAAAGCTTTGCAAGTTTGTGCATCTTCGTTGAAAAACACAAAAAATCTCATATAATTTGGTAATAAAAAGAAAAGTTTCGCGTGTTCAATAACTTCCTAGTTTTTAATTTTCCAAAAAATAAATTCCGATTAGAATGCTAGAAAATAGATAAGCTACTTACTTCTCTCTAAAATTAGTGCTCACGTCCTTCATTTGGAAATAATATTTGAACGTGTTCTTATTTATTCAACCGTTAAAATCTACTGTTGTTAAATAAAAACAAACTAAATCACATATCTAAGTCAATGAGACCAAATATCAAACCACATAGAAAACGCAAACAAGATTGTTGTTTTTACTAAGCTGAAAACGTATATGAGTTAGAATGGACACAAGCAGTACTTGCATATATGGCAAAGATATTAAAGGCTATCTGCCGCCGTCCCTATTTTTGAACTATTTACCAATAAGATGGCAGTCAGTCAACAGCACCGTACCACCCACCATCCACGATAAGAGATTAACTTGACTGTCACAGCTTAAAGTGTGGCATTTAGTGATATTACGAATCCGAATTCAGCTCGTGAACTTAAAAATCCAGAGCTTTACTAGAGGGCCATCTCACGCTCTAGGACGCAGACAGACAAACAACCCAATCAACTACGTTTGCAGGAACTGTCAGTAAAATGTTTAGTGTATAATAACACGAAAGCCTTACATTTAAATGTATTTGAGTATTTATCATTCTACTTATCACATTCATAGGTATAACTAAAACCACACACACACACACAAATTAAACCATTCTTACTTTTGTTTACTAAAATTACATATCGAAGCATATAAAAATTATATAAAAAGCAGCCTTCACAGATTCTTAGAAAGCCACCAACTCTAATTACTCGAGAGGTTTTTCGAATGATTAATGATAAAAAAGTGATTGATGACGTTTACAACGAGATATCTATGGATTCTTGATGGACGATGTTTGAGAAATCGTTAAGGTTTTCGTGTATCAGATGATTTTCAATCTTTTAAATCCAACTGGACATGCATGTAAACCTAATTATGAAAGTACACACCGAATAGAACATGCTTTTACACATGTGAACCTAATCATGAAAGTACACACCAAATAAAACATAATTTTACACATCTAAATCTAATCATGAAAGTACACACTGAATAAATCATCATTGTACACATTGTTTCAAAGCGAAATTAAACATCTTTGTTGTGTTTTATGGACTTTTACTATTATTATAAAATAGCATGTGAGTATTACATCAAAAGTCACATTTATCTGCATGTTTACAAAATATTACTGGTGTAATATTTTAATTTTTTTTTTCCCTCTCTAAATGTTTGTTTTGGCGTAAATCTACACAAATGGACATCTGCATCGTGTCCGCCGGGAATACTTTTTTCCTTTTTAAATGTTTGTTTATATTAATGCAAAGTTACACAAAGTACTTTCTGCATTATGGCCACCGAGAGTATTGAACCCTGAATTTTAACGTTAAAAGCTCGCCACTGAGTCACTGGGGACTTCTCTTTCAAATGCGCAAGTCACTGAGTACATAATCATACATTGATTTTTTAATAAGTAAAGCCACATTATTATCTGCTGTGTCCACCGCGGGGAATCGAACACGGAATTTTAGCGTTGTAAGTCCGTAAACTTACCGCTGTCTCACCGAGAAAACCATAGAAAAGGTACGTAAAAGTAAAAAAATAAAAATCCAAAGTTATATGAAAACAATGGAGCCGCAATTGTGTCGTTAGATATATATATACATTATACTAATTCGTTTTAAAGTATCAAAACTAATAAGTAATTTTGTTCGATAAACCATCGTATCACGTTAACATTTATTTTGGGATCTAGGAGTTTAGAGTTCTACCTAGTTTAAGGTTTCTGTTTGTAATAAAATTTTATTCAAGCATATTACAACTTTCAAAATGAAAGTAATTACTGCACTTACCGACTGGTTCATTTTCAGGAATTAGCCATTCTCTCGTCAGGTCGAAAACTGGAGGAGAATTATGTCCAGGAAATCCTTCCCCTGTAATAATATAGAAGTAGACAGAGATATACCTAAGTTTATATTTATAATTTCTTTTATTATTATTATTATTATTATGAAACCCAAAACTATACAATGAGCTATCTGTGTTGTGCCAACCGCGAGTATCGAAACCAATTTTTAAAGTTATAAGCCTTCAGATTTATTGAAGCGGTCCTTTGTTATTAACCGAGGCTCTCAAAAATTGTTGGCGAAACTGGAATAAATGAAAAATGTTTTTAAAGCAATATTAAGCGAAGCATAATTATTTAATTCAAACTAAACACTAATGGAATTCTTTATTTAAATACTTAGCTATTAATTATGTTTCTCAAAATACAACAACAACTAACGTTTCAAGAAAACAAGACTTATCAATAATTTATATTTGATCCATCAATGGCCATCTATTTTTATAAAGCTCTGCTCACAGACAATGAACTCCAAAGATTGTCAAACAGTGAAGTTTAGAAGCTATAAAGTTAAATTCAACAGAGTGTTACCTAATAACTATTTATAACCTTTCAATATTATAGAATCTTGCAAATGTGCATTGCATACTGAAGTGTTTTTTTTTAAAGATTACTATACTATATTATTTATACAAACTGAGAGTTTAAGAAAGCAAAAAATAAACTTTTCAAACAGAAATTATTTACTTCATTTTAATGTTTATTATTTTGATGCTTGATACTTCAATGCTTGAGATTATGAAAAGTGAATATTTTCAGAACTAAGAAACATTTTTTCTGCACTGTATTTCAAATAAACTTCCTTATTATAAACTAAATTATAAAGTTTTATCTTTGCTCCCTCCACTGGAAGATAGCTCTTCGCGATAGTCTCTCGATATATGGCCTCTAAACTGGCACTCTTTATAACTGTTTGCTGTAACATTGTCATAAATATAATTGATATTTATTTGTGACAGCTATGTGTGTAACTGCTTTCCTACGTTTTCATTCAAACATATGCAAGAACCTTTTTTTAAATTCAAATTACCTTGTAATCCTGCTGAAAATTTATTATGTTTAATGACATTCCACTAGGTACATGATTCTTACAAACAGTGTAAACTATGATAATTAAATTCACTTCAACTTCCCTTACTGGTGGATCAACAATTTGTGTGTTCTTATATAAGTTAAAGACAACGTATATAACTTAAAGTTAAAAAAAATACTGTAACCTCAAGAAAATCTACATGTAGTATATCATGCTTTGTTCTAAATAAAATAATTAAATCACTACCATTACTGGTACTTTTTTAAATAACATTTTATTCAAACTTATTACAACTTTCAATGTTTTTAAAGTAATTAAATCACTACCATTACTGGTACTTTTTTAAATAACATTTTATTCAAACTTATTATAACTTTCAATGTTTTTAAAGTAACTAAATCACTAGCATTACTGGTACTTTTTAAATAACATTTTATTCAAACTTATTACAACTTTCAATGTTTTTAAAGTAACTAAATCACTACCATTACTGGTACTTTTTTAAATAACATTTTATTCAAATTATTACAACTTTCAATGTTTTTAAAGTAACTAAATCACTACCATTACTGGTAATTTTTTAATTAACATTTTATTCAAATTATTATAACTTTCAATGTTTTTAAAGTAACTAAATCACTACCATTACTGGTACTTTTTTCTGGTAAAGATTAGTCAGTGATTATACTGTGCCAGCCATTGGTGAAAAATGTATACAACGGCTTTTAGGTATCTCAATAGATGCTACATTTATTTTGAAATTACAGCCATTCAATCCTTAAATGCTCTAAAGTTTAGTGTTTAAAGTACACTGGTATAAGTAAAAACATACGTTCTAGAGGGTATTATCGATACTTATGTATTCTTATTACGACATTAACGTAACTACAACTCGCTAACGACGTTAATCTGTATTTTAACGTGTTAGGAAGAGAGTTTGATGAGAATACTTTTTTTATACATCTGTAACTTTGCGAATTTATTAATAACATTTACTTCTCATTAAATAATACAGAATTATGTTTTTACAAGTTATTCAGCAGAGAATGCAACGTTATTATATAACAGCATCCACTCATACATAGATGTTTTTTGTTTGTTTGTAACTGAGTGCAAAGCTACACAATGACTATCTGTACTCTGCCTACCACGAGTACCGAAACCCGGTTTCAAGCCATACATAGATGTATTTAACAATTTATTTGTTTTTTGTTTATTTTCTAGAGAAAAACCACAGTGAGCTGTTTACTGTGTCCACAGTGGGGAATCGAACCCCAGATATTAGCATTGTAAGTACATAAACTTGCCGCTGACCCATCAAGGGTCAACCATTTCTTTAACACATAGGTTTGAAACTAAAATATTTACAAAACAAAATCTTGAGCTTACCCTTTTGTTTTTTAATCTACAAAACCTAAGTTGTTAACGAACAACAAAATACACTGGAATTTATCCTGTTCATCAAAAACAAAATCTTGAGCTTACCCTTTTGTTTTTTAATCTACAAAACCTAAATTGTTAACGAACAACAAAATACACTGGAATTTATCCTGTTCATCTAGAATATTGAGATTTTCCAATATAACACAAAATAAAATAATTTGTCATATTATTTGATAGTGATTATTTTACTTATTGGCAAAATCACTGGTATATGCACAATGGGTAATTTAAAACACGTTAAACTATGCATTCAAAGATAAATATGAATGTTGATTATACTATACCTTTCCTTATTTAGTGATTCTTTTTTGTTCCATTCTCAGCTCTTAACAAATTAACTTTTCACTTTTATTCTACTCTCAGTTGATGACCAATCACTACTGACTTCAAACATCTGTTTGTCTTTTAAATTTAAAGTCGTTCTCACAGTTTTATGCTGTGTCATAACACATTATCATGTTCATAGGGCGCGAAGCAGGAACATGATTTATGAAGCAATGTTTTGTATCAGCAGAAGTGCAGTGGTGTGTTACATTCAATGAATATTTCTAGACCTAAGAATTTAAGAGTTGTATAATTATGATTCGTTTATGTAATTATAAAGCACCGAAGAAACTATACTCAGGAAATTCTAAACTTTAATTCTATTTTTACCGGACTATACACGCAAGGTAAAAATAATAGACTTTAGTTGTCTAATTACGTTTTTTTTTCTTGAGACTTGAGAAGAAAAATATATATATATATATATATCAGTTCGCAAAGGCGTCTGCTCCTTGACCAGTCTACTAGTGGTATTCTGGGACAAAAACAGCCAATAGGAACACAGGTACTAAAAATTAACCATGTGAAAAACAAACGATCCCTCAAATCATGGCTACGCCTATAGGACTTGGAATTCTAACCAGTTTTTAAAGGATCAAGAAGGGCTATAAGCTTGTATCCTAACTGGATTAACACCTTTGTTGTACAGCCCTTTTTTTTGGTTGTTTTTAGAAATTAGAAAAATCCTTGATGTTCAACGAGCTTAACCTCCTGTATTGCATTAAATAGTGTTTTGATCATATAGCACATAAAATGTTCTGTATTTTTTCTTACTAGCGTTATGCAAATATTACGTTTACTTTATGTGTGATAAACACGATAACACCCTGTTTTTGACCTCAAAAAATATTGTTTAAGGAAAATAAAAATCGAATAACACAAAAAGATGTGACCTAACAAAGTCACAGTTTGTTTATCATTTTGTATTGTTTGTTTGTTTGTTGCTTTTTGCGCAAAGCTACTGGAGGATTATCTGCGCTAACAATCCATAATTTTGAAGTGATAGAGTAGCGGGAAGGTAGCTTGTGAAAACCACCCACCGCCAACTCTTTGCCAAATAATTGTAGAATTTGTCGTCATATTATAATACATCCATGGCTGAAAGTGCGAGCATATTCAGCGACGTGTTTCAATCCCACGACATTACAAATATTTGCGCTCGTGAACAGAATACAAATTATTTTAATTTTCTTGATTTTAATTACCCAAATTATTCCCTTTTTTCCTTTGTTTTCTAATTTGAAATATAAAACTGACGAACTTTTTCTCGCTTACAATATAAGCCATCGGAGAAAACGCTAATTTAAATCCCGAGTGCATGTAATGTTCGAAATTATCACTTTACATCATATTTATTAGTCAGTATTCATATAAAAGAGCATTTGAAGCCAAGGAGTATTTGACTATTTCCAAGTTTGCCATCACTATACTAGAAATGAGGAGTGTCTTCCTTTTGAGGTGAAGATAAAATAGATTCTCACAATATACAGTATTCTGTATATATTAATAACATCCGATCAGAGTAAGCTACGTACTTAGAGAAACTAAAAACCAACTTTGCCATCATTATAGTTAATTAAATGGTATTTTCCTCACGCTTCTACTTATAAAATTTTTAGGAGATTTAGGTTAGCCTTCTAAATACAAAATCTAAGCTAACAGTGCAATATCATCTTTATATTAAAAGTATAATAATAAACAATAAAAAGTAATTGCATTAGATATACTAATCAGAAGTTTTTCTGAAGTAGCTAAAACCGAAACGAAATAGGCATATCCAACTAAGCTACAAGTTGGTATTGACCAACTACTGCACGCTCCTCGTTGGAAATATAATTAACTTAATAAATATAATAATATACTTCTCATACCTCCAGATCTATGAAACTACGTAAGAAGCAAAACAAATAATTTTTATACTGAACATGTAGTTTGGCTTCCACTGGAAGTATAATCAAAATAGAAATATTCGTGCATCCCTTCATGTATTTTTCTTTGTTGAAAACATGAGTATTAAAACAAGGAATAATGCAATATATTTATATCAGGGCCCTCTTTATTAGGATTGATTATTATCTGATCATATGAAAATATACAAGAAAAAAACCTCCTAGAAACATTCACAACGGTTAAAAGTCAGTGTGTTAAATTTATACTAGAAGCTCCATTAAAAGCATGTTACATCGCCATAAACAAGTAAAAATCTATAAAACTTCTCATTATAGAGAAATAACTATTACTGAATTTTGTTTTGATTAACTTTTATCCTTTCGGGGTATTAACTATAGAGGGTTAAACATTTCATTTAAACCATAGTAAAATCCGTTATTACCGGAGATGGTTAAACAATACTGCTTGCTACAAGACATTCATGGATAGTATTCACAGGGTAATTTCACGCGTTGAAGAATACGCTAATGGTGGTTTCATAACAACGGTTGATGAGCACTAATATTGACACATCTTTTGAAGTGGTTCCTTTGTAAGAGAACTTTGTAATTTGGCATGACTACTTAATCGTGAGAGAGCTATGTTCTTTTATAATTGGAAAATTTATTTGGCTGTTTTGTTCAGCTAATCAGTAGTTTGTAAATACTACTTTATAGTTTCTGTTATTTTTTAATCGTTTTCACCCTTAACACTATATACAAGTAGTTAATTTCCAGTTTTTTATCCCCCCCCCATGCTTGCTTCACATTTACTTTTTACTTCTAAGGAATTTTAAGATTTTGTATGCCATATTTATGACTGTGACGTCACACGACATATAGGCCAGTACAGTAACGGAAAGCCTGAGCATTGAACTACAAGTTTCACAGGTTCTGTGGGGAAAACATTTAACAACCTTAACCGTATCTCTCTTTGAATCACAAACGAACCTTTGTTTCATTATTCAACAATTAAGTATAAATATCATACAATACACATTCAGAACAAAGGTTATGATTCCAATATTAGCGTTCCGTGTTGCTAAAAATGGTGAAATGGATGTAAGTGAGAAAAGGTTTTGGAAACATATAAGAAGGCTTTGTTTAGACAAATATATATAAAAACACGCACATTTTTTGAGTGTGTTTCCTGTATAATTACTTGAACTGTCACGCCTTTGTTTGGGAGGTGTAAGACGAATGACGTTGATACTACCATCTTACATGAGAAAAGTGTAACTGAATGCAGCTTGAGATCAACAGAAACTTCCCGACGTATCTTGTTTAAGAAACAAATCTGCTATCATTTCAATCGCGTCTGCAAACCTAAAATATGACCATAATCCACATTAGTACTAGTAGAACAATATAACATATTCGCTTTTTATTCGGGGGGTTAGTCAACGAACCCGAACTTGGTGATAATATTTAACTTGAAGTATTGTTCTTGAAGTGCTGTAATATTTCTTATTTTCAGACTTCTTAAGTCAGGGGCGGATTCAGGATTTTGAGCAGGAGGGGGGTCCAAATGGAAAAAGAAAGTAAGTAAAACAATAAGACGGAAGGCATCTTACTTATATTAGATAAAAAAAACAAAATAATAAATTTTGTTTTTAAGGTTAATTTATGATTACTTGGTTTTTTTTTAGTTTTTCATTTATAAAATTTCTTTATCTAGATATTAAAAATATTTAATTATGCTTTTCCCGAGTAGGGGGGTCCAGACCCCCTGGACCCGCGCCTGTAAGTACTGTAATATATTTTATTTTCAGACTTTTTAAAAGTGTGATTCTAGAGATAGTGGGTCACTGAATTTATGTTACATTTTACTAGTTGACGACCATTTTGGATCTGCACTGTATATATTCGTAAAACAGATCTTTCTGCCAGCATTTTATGGATAAAAACGTAAGTTACTAAGTTCAAAACACATCTCTTTTTACGTAAAAGTTTTAAATATATCTACCACGTATTTGTTGTGAAAATAAATTTTAAATAATGTCTGCTTTCTGTGAAAACAGAATTAATAATTGAGTTGACTATGAAATGGGTGACTATTGCCTATTAGAAAAACACTTGTAGATATATATACATGCAGCTCATATGTGGAGGAAGATGTTTCGAAAGTCTTCCGCCTTTTGTCTTCATGTGTTTCTCTAATAAACAGGCAGTTGGCGCTCACTTCACATTCAACTCATTACGAATGATCTGCCTAAACTATCTATAACGCATTTAACAATTTATTAATATTATATGTTTATTTATCAAAATATTTTCCACCAGTTTGTTCTGACTTTATCACATAAGAGCAACGGAAAACAGTTTTGACATTTATTCTTATGACGTCTGCTTTCAAAAAACTACGTTCTCACCTGGTGCAGCCAGGAAGACAGCACAACACACCACCAGCAGGGCTTTGCAGGTCACCATCGTACGTTCACTTGAGTCGCTGTGTTTTCGATTAGACGTTCCTTGTGGCTCCACCGTCGTATGATCTCGAGATTTCTAAAGACGATCACATCCAATAAAAGCAAAGGTTAAGCACTTTAGTCGTTACTTTACAGTTTATCAGCAATAAGTTTGAATTTTCGCACCATAAGCAGCAGATGTATGCTCGTCCCGTTCTGTAGCATCACAACATGTAACTTGCTTGCCTGACCCAGCGTGTGCACGACGTCATTCCAACACGTCACTGATTGGTTGGTGGAAGGACTACTGCATGTGTAACAAAACCAGGCGTGTAATTATTTTGCCAAAATAAAATCGGTCACGTCTCAAGAGGGCGTTCAAAGTGTATTACATTGCTCCAGGGTCTAAATCAACCTCACTGCAAAACGACGTTCGCGGTCACAAGAGGATTTTAGCCAATCACAAACCTTATTATGCAGGAGGCTAAAATGATTTTAGAGCACGTTCAGATTTAGTAGCCTTGAATGACCTTCTGTCGAGTTTTTCGTGTAAAAAGACGTTAACACTTGCTGATAAAATAGATATAAGAAAAGTGAGGTATTACTAATGATAAACATTTTGTGCATCACATGGGTAGCTCACATGCATTGCCAAGAAAGAAAAACTTCATTGAACATTAGGTAACGTGATAAGCCCAATACCTCTCTATGCACGTTATTAGGAAGCAGTAAACGGTTTTGTAAAGTCTTTAGTTCTTTGTGTAGCACCTTCGTTAGTTTGCGAGTGCAAAGCTACACAATGATCTATCTGCGCTGTTCCCATTATTAAACCCCGAGTTTAAGCGTTATATAATCCTTGAAGCTTACAGTTGGGCCACCGGGGGCGTCACACGCTAGGCCACGTGGTATGTCCATTACCTTTCCTATACAGGTATACCTCAAACTATGCGTTTTTTAATATGGTGTTTTGTACTTTACGTCAAACCCACCTTAATATCTTATAAATTAGTTTCTTAGTTACTTTTATATTGTTCTTTAATCTGCCAGTTACGACCTATATGATTTTTAGCATTGTTCTTTAATTTTGATAGTGATTACTATGTTGTGAGGTTATGACATAGTTTTGTTATTTGTACAAACAAAAAAACTATTGTTTTGATATAACCTTGTAAACATAATGGTTCTTATTACAAGCGTTGAGTACGGAATATCTAAACGATTGGGAATATGCAACTCAGCAAGTCCAGTTACAACAATAGCCGTTAGAAAGTTGTTGTGGAACTGATTGTATAAGAATTACATGTGTCGTGTGTTGGTAGTGCGATGCCTCTGAAAGTTGTTGGGAAGGGTATGTAAGAGCTCTTTTCGAGACAAAACATTCATATGCTCAGAAACAACCCTACTTAGGTTTTGCGGGGCTCTAGGCATAAAGGTTGTTGAAGAGCTACCCCTTCCCATTTCATATGGGAATAAAAATGAAATTTCGAAAGAGACGCGAAGCTTTCACAGGTGAACCTGTGAAACAAGCAATATTCCATCCACACCAAGAGCCATAAGTTCTGCCTGCAATGACCAGAATAAGACCTTGGAAGGTTATACATATATATATATATTCTCGAATATACAGCATAGTATTTTATGTTTTTCTTTTGTTTTGTTTCGGTTTTTGATATCTTTTTTCCCCCCATCAAAGCTATACATTTGAAAAAAAAGCCCATCCAGGCTGCGCAGGTTCAGGGTTCTAGGCAGCTGTCTAGATCGCGAATGGGTAATATGGCACTGCAATCAGATCGTAAAGATGTGTTCAGATCTTGGATTTAGAATTTCTAAGGCGGGTATATACCTTGTGCTTCATGGCATTGGAAAATCAAGGAAAGTTGCGAAACTTAAATAAAAAGGACTTAGGTTGTTAATAAATAATATCATTTTTTGCTTGGTATTTGGTTGTGTAATGGTTAATATGAGGAGGTAGTGTGAGTTTGTGAACTTGATACTTTAAAAATTTGATAGGATAATAATTGATAAGATCTATTGGATTGTTTCTTTGGGAACTGGTTGGAAATCTCAATGTGTTTAATTTTTCTCTATCATCTAACTGGTCCTTACCGTAAAGGTGCAACACACACATTTTCTCAGACATGAAGACCGAATTTTGATCTTTACCAATCAGAGAGCCAATACCTATATTGGGAATATTGTATGTTTTCTTAGTTTATTTTAGTCTAAACTTTCCGAAGATAGGTTATACTAGTTGAAGTGTGTGTAACTGGTTTTGCACAACCATAAACCAGCTTATTGCTTATACCATCGATATCTATTTGAAATTATTGTTGAAGTATAAAAAACATTCTGATTTATTTCTGTTTTACTGAAAGATCATTTTGAAGTTGAAGTTTAGTGTTTTGAGAGCGGTTAAATATTTGTTATTACCACGTTTCTGTCATTTAAAGCACAAAATAAAAAGTAAACAACAGCAAAATATCTTTGTTTGTTTGTTTGTTTTAAGTTAAGCACAAAACTACACAATGGGCTATCTGTGCTCTGCCCACCACGGGTATCGAAACCCGGTTTCTAGCAGACATGCCACTGTGTCAATGGGAGCCCGATATATAGACCGATGAACAATTGATTTAATGGAAAAAAAATTGATATGTATAAATAACATGTAGATATGGGAATATTTATAAAGGACAAACTAAACGAAATACAGAATAAGTGAACATATAAAGACATTTAGAATAATAATACAAAAATCTCGCCTTTAGCTCAATATACTAATAAAACTAAACACAAGATCCAATGAGAAAAAACTATTGTTTTAGCACAAACTGCGAGCATTAACGGTAAGAATATCCGTGAACCTATTGAAATAATGAAATTTAATAAAAGTATTTTAAGGTGTTAAATAAGGATGAAGGTTCAGGGGGAAATATTGTGATAGATAGCGTGAAATTCTGCAAGCTAAATTTGTATGTAGATGCGATCATGTGGCTTTTGAGAAAAAAATATGTATTACATTCCTGATTATGATGCAGTAAAACTTCCAAATATGTAGTGTTTGAAATTATTTCAAGTCTCACGGTATTTTTTTCTCTAATCATTCAATCATTAAGTATAATGTATATTATATTTTGAGTCTCATTTTTAAGTATTTGTTGCGCATCATTAAACATTGGTCTTTTCTTTAAACATCTGCGTTATTTAAAACTTAGTCAATCTTAATGCTTTTTTGTGATTTTTTTTGTCGAACAATGAAACAAACGAAGTTTCGTCCATACCTAACGTCCTTACATTTTGTAGTTACAACAGCCACAAAAAATTGGTCGAATTCAATATTTGTCACGAGAAAACAAGCATTCAACTTCGAGTGACGAAAGAAAGAAATTCTTAATATTACAAAGCTATTTACATCCTCGTCTCTGTGGTTATTTATATCACTAACAAATTTTTGGATTTTTAAGATAAGTTTATATCGAATCTTGAATTGTACAAACTAAATATTATTGTCACGTAGAACTATCAACAATTGAATAATGAATGTTAAACATTTGAAATGTAGATATAAATAATACTCCATTATCTTAAACTTAAACGAGCAATTCCTTCCAAATATTTGGTATTTTGTGGAACTGACTAAATTGCTGTTGTGTATACAGTACGTTAATGTAATATATATTGGTGACATACAGGAAGACATAATACTTCCTTATATTCTCACGCCTATTCCTGACTTTCAATTATATACACGCCATTTCTAAACTGTAGTATTTGGATGTAATATAGTATTACCTGTTACACGCCCGGCATGGCCAGGTGGTTAGGGCACTCGACTTGCAAGCTGTGGGTCGCGTTAAAATGTTACTGTCAATTTCACTATTCGTTGGTAAAAGAGTAGCCCAAGAGTTGGCGGTGGGTGGTGATGACTAGCTGCTCTCCCTCTAGTCTTACACTGCTAAATTAGAGACGGTTAGCGCAGATAGCTTTGCGCGAAATTCAAAAAACAAACAAACCTGTTACACGGTTTTCCTGCAAATCAGTCACTTACGACTGCTAAATGGAGGTTCGAAGAATACCGGACTAAAAAAGTATTTGAGTTTGTGTCTTCCCGATCTCGGTTTGGTTTGGTTTGAATTTCGCGCTAAGCTACACGAGGGGTTTTACGCTAACCGTTCCTAATTTAGCAGTGATAGACTAAAGGGAAGGCAGCTAGTCATCACCACTTGGGCTTTTCTTTTACGAATAGTGGGATTGTCCGTCATATTATAACGTCCTCACGGCTGAAAGGGCAAGCATGTTGAGACTGCTGCTAGTCGAGCAACATAACCACCAAGCCATGCCAGGCCCTTTCTGATCTCTAACCAAAGTTGCCGAGAAGAAAGAGTCAAAGTCGATGCAAGAAACTTGGCTAACTACCAAGTGATGAACTCAAAAAACAAGGAGAGTTGAAGTGTACTTGAATGATTCTCTGTTTCCAAACTGGAAATTCTCGAAAGCACAATAATAACAAAAAAATCCCTTTAACTAAAGGGGTAACAAACACATGGTACTTTTCCGTACCACAACTCCCCTCTTTACCCCAGGCTGACCCAGCAGCACTTCAATCCAAAACAAAAAGAATAGTAATTAAAGTTTAACCTCATATCACTCAAGAAACATTATAATTCGCTTCTCCCCAGTAAAACTACTTGCTGTAACACAAAGGCAAAAAGAATCTTACGAATACAAATACGTAAAATTAGAATAAATAACAGTACACACCTTACTACTCCCTTTAGGAAGGAGTAGCCTAACCTGAAAATATAGTAAGCATAGAATACCATTTAACAAAGTTAAATACATGTACACATTCTTGAACAATGATCAAGTACTCCTTTAGCAAAGAGTAGTTTAACATGCTACACATCATTACATTAATAAAGATCAATGTACTATAACATAAAAACTCTAAAACATTGAAACATATAAAAGGTGTATTATACTTTTTAACAATGAAAAGGAGACAGAAAATATGAAAACAAAGCCCTTAAACACAAGATCGAACCAAAGCTTTCTGCAGAAAAGTGCAGAAAATAAAAATAAACCCTTTAAAGTTGCACTTTAAAGTAAACCTTTAAGTTGAAAAAAACCTACTTAAGCTTTTCACGAGAATAAATTACAAAATATATAAGTTTTTACTAATACAAAATACTATCGCAGAAAACTAATTACACATGTACAAAGTGTGCACATTAGAACTTAACCTAAGTATAAAAATACCCCTTAAGCCTAAACAAAT